GGACCAGCCCAGTCAGAATGGAAGGACTGACTGTGGCCCCCAGCACAATGAGGTGGGGTCACCCTGTAACTTACACACGTGGGACCTCTTCCCCAGACCTAACACAAATGCCATGTTCCCCGAGGGAGGAGGGAAAGTGGGCAGGAGGAAGTCTGGAACAAGGATTCAATGGAGAAGGAGAAACCAGGAGGAGCTTTGAGATCAGAATTAAATTCTTTAATACAAAATGCTTTTTTTAAGATATATCTGTATTTCTTTGTTGTTGTTTAAAAATAAATATGTACTACGGAATATCTCGAAAAACTGCACTAGAGACAAAGATGTGATGTTAATATCTTTTTCCCCCACAATTATTACGGATAAACAGTAGCACCAATAAATAAATGATAACAAATATTACAATTAAAAAAGGAGAGAGATTTAGTATGTAGAATTCTCTATTTTTTCTTGTTTTGTTTTTACATATAAAAAACAGAATAGCAATGTCTATTTTATCAGAATCACATATATACATAAACATATATATATATATATATATACAAACACAAGTTGCCAAATATATATATAGTATGTAGATGTATATTGAAACCTTATTTCAAAGGAATGTGTGGTGGGGAGCCAGGGGAAAGGGTAGGGCAGAGCTGAGTGTTAGCAAAATTAAATATCTGTTCAGGACAAGCTAGTGACTGTCACCGATCAGGGAGAGAGAGATTGGAAACATGAATCTTATACACAAAGACCAGTACAAATAAGAGAGAGCAAGAGATACATCTCATAAATAGTTGAAATTAAATATTAACCAAGAATACTGAAAAAAACCCTACTCTTTAATTAAATTAACTGTTTTAATTTCTAATTAAAAAGGGATATTAAATAAGTACCGTATATAAAACACTTTCTCTTTTCTCTGCCTCCATGGTGGGCCCGTGGAGCCTGCCCTGTCTCTCTGTGCCGCGGGGAGGGTCGGGGCGGGGGACGGAGGAGGGGTAACCACTCACACACACACAGCCAGGTCTCCTGGGGGACAGAACTAGTGGTTTCAATGGTCTGAGGACATCAGGCCTTCCTGGGCTGCACCCAGGGAGGGGAGCAGGAAAAGGCCAAGGCAGAGGCCCTTTCCTCAGAGGATGAGCTGTCACCGGGCTGCTCTTCTTCTCTTTGCCAGTACATCTGTCAGTGGCCTCCTGGGCATCTCGGAAGTAGGTGAGAGTAGGGGAAGGCTTCCCAGGCTCCTGAATCTTCCAGGCAGTGCCCCTGGGGGCAAGATGCCCGTGCAGCACGCAAAGGGGATCCCCAAAGCACAGCAGTGTCCTGAGGCTCCCCAAACTCCTGGTCAGAGCCAGCATCCTTGTCCCGTCGTCTGTCTTTCTGTCCATTTGACTTGGGGTAGAAGCTCGGGACCAGGGCTGGGTTTGTCAGTGTTCCCAAAAGCAGGCCAAATTTGCCCCCGTGCCCTGGCCTTGCACCTTCCTAGGCAGGGGAGGGGACCCTGGCCTCCCTAAGAGGGACAAAAAGATCACGCCAGAGTCTCTCCTCCCGTCCTCTTCCCTGTCGGGATCTGGGTGGGGACATTCTCCTCCCAACTCAAGTCCACAGCAGTCAAATACATCCAGTGAAGACACCAATAACATTAGCAATGTTAATTTAAAAAAAGAATATATATATTT